ATGTGTATGTAGGTATCCGATGAAATAGACAAACGCCGCGAATGTATGCCGTTAAAGCGCGAGAGCATGAAGATGAAGGCAAGAAGCGAAAGGAAGTGAACAAGTACCACGCAGCAAGAAGAACAACGACCACAGCCCAAAAATGGCCATAACAAGCGGCCAACCCCCACATTCTCACCAAAATAACCTCAAACCTCCTCTTCGATCTCGCGCCAATTTTCCAAATCATCAAGCTTTCTCTTTGAACTTCTCTTTGGGCGGGGTCAATGGCCCAGGCGCTTCCTCCTCAATGAACTCGCCTTCACCTAACTTCCCGCCAAATGTATCCACCTCTTCGACCTCCTCTTCTTCTTCCTCATCTTCCTCTGTGATGCCTAAGATCTCTCCACTCCTGCGACCCTGTACGCTCGTTCCCCGACTCCCCATACCACCTTCTCCACTTCTACTCCTCCAGCCGCCGCTACCATTCGTCGAGCTGCCATTCAGACCTCCGGTATTAACATTAAGCATGGGACCTTTGAAAGGGCTCTTCCTCCTCTTTGCGAAGACAAGACCCGGGGACTGCGGGGGAATGCTGTTTCCGTTTCCGAAAGCGGCGCTGGATTCGTTGAGACCGGGTGGGAAGCCAGAACGTACAAGGCGGATGTTGGAAGGAAAGCTTGAGGAGGTGGGGGTGGCGGGGAGGACCTTGATGCTGTTGTGGGGGGATTTGGAGGGTTTGTGTGAATGGCCGCTTGTGGAAACGGCGGGAGAAGCGAGAGAGGCGGAGGATGTGGATGAGGCTTTTGAGTGCGAGTGGTGGTGGTGTGGCATGCTGCGGATCGAGGATACAGATGACGAAGTGGATTTTCGACCGCGGAGACCGCCAGACGAGCGACGGTAGGAGGATCGTGGTGTTAGTGGTGCGGGCGATGCTGACAGCCTTCTCATGGAGCCTGAGCCGTGTGTTGAGCCTCGGGGCCGCGGGCCAGGCATTTGTGGTGTGGGTGGAGACCTGGGGTTCGTGTGTACAGACGACCGATTTGCCGTACTCTGTCTTCGTGTTGAATCCGAAGACTTGCTTGGAGGTATCTTTGGCGACTGTCCACTGCTGGCTTTCGAACCCGGCGATCGCGCTCGTTTCGACGTCTCTTTTATCCAATTTCGAAGTGTCAAAAGGTGATTGATGAAGGGCTGTTTCCGGCGTCGCTTAGGCACGAAGCCATTGGGAGAAAGAAGATCTGGATTGGTAGATACGACCTGTAGCATACTGCTGCGTGAACGCCGCCTGTCGAGATCCTTCGCTGGTGGTGGCGGACGTGAGGATGAATGGGATTTCCGACCCCGACGGGTATCGATTGGAGGGAGCGGTTTGTCGTCGACTGTGAGATTGGGTGAGGTGATTAGCTCTGGCAGCTTTGGCAGTTCGGGAGCACCTGTCTCGAGTTAGAAGCGTTTCCTGATGTCCGCCATGATACTCACCATGTAAGCTGCTTCGATTTGTGGTCCTGCCGCGACTCTTAGGCGTAGAGGGAGAGTGAATGCCTTCTTCGTCAGACTCTCTTATGGTAGGCGCAAGCTTGTCAAGTCGACTACTTGCAGCGCTCAGTCGTCGGAGGCTCTTAGCCTCTGCTTCTTTCTCTTTGCGCTTGCGTTCTCTCCTCTTTGCCTTGCGTTCCTCTTTTTCGAGCAACAGTGCCCACCAACCAGCTAACGAGTCGCATCTTTGGGCCAGCACGTTCTCAATCACCATGTCAATATCCACCCCGGCAGCGCGCATGCGTTGCAAGACCTCCTTCTCCAGCTCGGTCGAGAAAGGCGCCGGCTGTTGGAGCTTCAAGATCTCCTGCTGGCGGGGCGCATGTTCCGATAACCAAGGGTTCTGTAGTATGTCTGCCAGTGTAGGTCGCAAGATCGGCCGTTTGGATAGTAGCGACTGACATAACTCCTTCGCTTGCTGCGGGAAGTGCTCCGGATATTTGGGGTCCTCCTTCAGTATCTTGTTCTTCGTGACCATTTCGTCGTCGTCGTCAAAAGGCAGCTCGCCCACTAGAAGCGCGTAAAGAATGATGCCCAAACTCCAAACGTCCACCTTTTCGCCTGCGTACTTTTCGCCCTTGAGCATCTCCGGCGCGCTGTAGCAGATTGTCCCGCACCATGTCTGCAGGTAGTTGGACTTGCCCTCGTACTCGCGCGTGAAACCAAAGTCGACCAACTTGACGTCTCCGTGCTTGTCCAGCAGTATGTTCTCGAGCTTGAGGTCGCGATGGACGCACGACTTGTTGTGGACGTAGGTGACGGCGCCGACGAGCTGGGTGAAGATGCGCTGGACTCTGGCGGGCTCGAGGGCGCCCTTGGCCAGTAGGTAGTTGTAGAGTTCATCGCCCTGGCAGTACTCGAGTACCAGCCAGACTAGGTTCTCGGTGACTATGACCTCGTACAGGCGGGCTATGTGTGGGTGCGTGAATTGGCGGTGGTGATGGATCTCGCGCGCGAGGTTGGCGTCGTCCTTCTTCGCGCTCTTGAGCACGACCTGCTTGCGATCAGCGTGGTTCCTCGTAACGTCCTGCCGGTGGTACCTTTGAGCCATTGCTGAGTTTGTGCGACGCCAAGTAAACCTTGCCAAAACTGCCCTTGCCTATAAGTTTCCCCAGTGTATAGTTGCCGACCGTCTTGAGATCAGTCGCGGCGAACTCACTGGCCCTGCGTCAGCAAATTGGACCCGGTGAAACACGCAGCCGGCGCGCAAAAGCAAAGAAGAGACTTACTCGAGCAGCTGTTTGTACGAATTCGCGAGCTGCTATAATTTGCGTCTCAGCATGCGTGTTGCAAACATGCGCCTGGGGGAATTGCTTGTTGCGGCGCACGAGCGTCGTTGGACGGCAGCGGGACGGGGCCTACCTTCTTCCTCTGGGCCTGAATCTCAGCCTGGGCTCTGAGATTTGACTGCATGGAATGATGCGCCGCTGCTCCGTGGTGTCGCCTGCGCAACCAGCGTCATCTATGGGTTGCAGGAGTTCGGACTGGCGAGCGAGCGCCGCGGAAGAGAGAGACGGCTCCGTATATGCTCTGGTGGCAGCGAAAGTGGAGAAGGCCGCAAACGCCAGGGGCCTAGGGCGTTCGAGATGTGCGAGGATAATAATACTAGCTTTGCGCCGACCGCGAGTGCGAAGAAGTGTATATTAATTGTGAATACTCCCAGGCGGACGGGGACTGGGCGTGCCGTCAGATCTCTCCTGAGCTTCCGGTGCTGCCATGGATTCGGGGAGCGCGATCCTGGTCGCAGATCATCCACCGCTGCTCTGGGAAGGCGCAGGCACCACCACCACAATGCGACGCGACGTGGTTTGGACATCGTTCTCGTTTCGAGTGTACAAGTCAATAACGTTTGTGCAATGTGTTCTTCGACCGAGAGCCGGATGCATGTATGCGCTTCTTCTGACGTTGTGTTACACGGCAACCCAAGGACCGAGATGCGACGGACTGTTGTCAAGACACGAAAACTCTACTGTTATTATCTACAGTTTACTGCTCGGCCCTCCAATGTACGTCTGGCCTAGCTTCAGCATGTCGATCGCCTCTTGCACCATCTCGTCGACAATCTCCTTTGCGGGCTTGATATCGCCGATAACCCCCGCAACCTGGCCCATCAGGAACGGGATATCCACATCCTTCCCATCGTCCATGTCCTTCGCCAGCGGCACAACTCCCGCCTCCGTGAGCTTCTTGATCTCGTCCTCGCGCTCGTGCCACTCTTTGATGTAGTCGTTGTACCTGACGCGCAACGGTCGGCCACTGACAACCAGTGTCCGGCCTGTGTCTGTGAAGTCGGCTGTGACCACGTTCTCCTTGTGCATTTGCGAGCAGCCAGCCTCAGTTGATGCGACGAATCGTGTGCCGACCCATACGCCCTGTGCGCCTTGCATCAAGCTGCTTGCCAGACTGCGGCCGTTATAGATGCCTCCCGCCGCCACTACGATGGCTGGCTGACCGGTCAGAGGGCTCTTGTATTTGCGCGCGACGTCCACGACGGAGGGTATCAGGATGCTGTTCGCGATATCGCCGGTATGTCCTCCGCCTTCTCCACCCTGGGCGCACACGATATCCACACCTGCATCTAGTGCCTTTTTCGCATGTTTGGGGTGTCCGACCATATTCATGATCAAAATGCCTGCTTCGTGAAGCCTCTTGATCGTCCGCTCGGGCGGTACACCAACAGCGCTCACAAACAGCTTTGCGCCATTCTTGATTGTGACTTCGATGAGGTCATCGAGCTGTCCATGGGTGTAGTCATGGTTCGTCTTGCGTGCGCTGCCGCCGACTTGTGGGAGTGCGAGATCGACACCGAAGGGCAGGTTCTTGTCTCGGAGGTTTGACTTGAGGTCATCGATGATCGATTGGAGCTGTTCCGGTGTGTATCCGAGACCGCCAATTACACCTAGGCCACCAGCGTTCGACACGGCAGCTGCGAGGGGGCCACCAGAGGTGCGCGCCATGCCGGCGAGGATAATCGGATACTGGATGCCCAGCAGCTTCGAAAGCGGCGTCTGCAGTGCCGGCGGTGACATGACGGCGTAGGCTGTGGTCGCGGGTCGTTGATAATTGAAAGTAGATGGAGTAGGTCACGTCGGATAACGCGAATAAAGGTCTGAAGAGCGTGCTTCTGGCAGCAATGAAGCTATGTGTAACCGCATGGTGAGTATGGGAGTGTGCATGCTAAATAGCGGCCGTGCCTACTGGCATCCTCGACTGCCAGGGGTTTTGCGGGGAAAACGTGGGTGCACGAGCCGAGGCATCTTAGCTCGACTCGATACATCGTTGCCATTGCCGAGATTCGCCCGTCGTGGACGGGATGAACATGCATATTTGGTAGTCACAATAGGCATAGTATGGGAAATTTTCTGCTGGAGAGCACGATGATATGCATGTTGGAAATCATAATCCATACTATCGATGTTGTTATCAATAATCGGCTTCTCGCACTATACTCACGTATGCCAATTGCGGAGCACAAAGACGCTTCAATCAACATCTAAATCTGGCTCTTCTGGCTCCTCTGACTTCGCCGCATCGTTTGACAGAAGACGAGCAGTCTTGTCAGCCATTGCTTCCATTTCCGCATCGAACTGCGCAGTCACATCATCCCAATTCATCTGCTTCATGAGCTCGTCGAATGCTTGGTCAGTCATATCGAAGTCCGCAATAGACGGTAGGTCCGCATCATCCCAACTCCACTGCTTCATAAAATCTCCGAGCGGGTTCGAAGACGTTGTCTGAGATGGCGGAAGCGGGACATCATTTGCAAATTGAGAAGACGTAGATGGGTCGAAGAGTGAGTCTCTATGATATTGCTATTAGCGTTTGACTCCATTCATTTGCCCATTAGCTTGTGCATGCCCGTTGACTTTTCCCTGCGCAGGTGTTGGCTGCGGCGGAGGTGGAGGGACAGGCCCGAATGGTCGATGCACAAGCGCCGGTTCGACACCGTCTTCTTCAGTGTCGTCGTCGTACTCTGCGCTATCTTCGTCCTCGTATTCGTACTCGCTCTCCGTAACTTCTTCATCCTCCTCGTCCTGCTCCTCGTGATCCAGCTCATGCATCGGAACCTGGCCTCGACCTTGTGCCTGCATTCCACGACACAGTGTTTCCAGGCGGGCTATCTTCTTCCGCTGGTCCTCGGCTTCCTTGGTCCGCCTGGCAAGCTCCTCTTGCATCTTTTGGCGCTCTTCCACCATCTCGCCAATATTGCGGTTCGTGATGTCCTTGTGACGTTGCAGCGTCTGGTTCTCCTTTTCAAGACGCTTGGTTTTCTTTGACATCTCCTCCATCTCCTTGCGGAACGTGAGGAAGAGATCGTTTGAGTTGTTGAGCGTTTCCTCGACCTGCATCTGGTCAGTATTAACCATGATGATACAGACCAACGAGGGGTTAACGGGTTGCATACCTGTTTGAACTTCTCCACGTATATGTTGAGCTGCGTGCGTAGTTCCGTCTCGGTCTGCGAAAAGGTCGACACTTGGCGGGTCAACTGGTGCGACTTGGAAGATTCGGCTTCTTGTTGTTTGCGCTGCTGCTCTAGTCGGGCGGCGTGATACTGTATTTCGAGCTCTTTGAGTCGCAGCATCGAGTGGTATTGTAATTCGCGCAACTCGTACTGGTCAATGAACGACTTGAACTTTTGACGAAATCTGCTTCGTTAGTTCATGCTCCCAAATTTGGCTGTGCCACACATACATTTCGTCCAGTTCTTGCTCGGCTTGATTCTGTGGTTCAGGCCCGTTCGCAGCTGCTATGCAATCGTCCACGTCATTCACCAGGTGTTCGAGACGCTCGTGTAGTTCTTGCCTGGCGGTGGATTCGCTAGATTCGAGCTTGTGTAGTTCGTCCTTGAGTTTCTTGTTTTCCTTTGCAAAGTCACGCGACAATTTGTCCAACTTGTCCTTCATTGTCGTAACCTTGTTCAACTCCGACCTTTGCGCGTCCTTTTCCTTCTGCAGCTGGTCCCCGCGCTTCTTCGCCTTTTGGTGTTCGCGTTCCGTGCGCTTCATATCGGAGAGGAGTTCGGTATATCGTTTCTGCACGACTTCGAGCCGGGACAGCGGGCCGTCCATGTTGGAGAGGAGCGAGGAGAGTTCGCGGTTTGCTTTCTTAACTTCGCGTTCTGTCCATGCCATACGTCAGCCAACGATTCATTTGATAGGGCCCCAGTCTCGTGCTGTGCAGACATGGGCTGCGCCACCCAGAGTGTCCCCTCCTCCACAGCTCCGTCGCAAGAGGTAGACGCACCGATTTCGAGTTCCTGCTCCTTGTCCCCTGCCTGGTCCAGTTCGAGCTGAGCAATCTTGGCCTGGATCTGCTTCTGCTGCTCCGAGGGGTCGGTCGCCTTCTTGCCTTTGCCCTTCTTAGCGGGCGCAGGCGCAGGCGCTGGGTTGTGCTGTGCGGGTGCCATGTTTGCAGGAGAGGCAGATGCACTGCGGCTGGCTTCGTGGTGAGGGCGGGACTGGGCAGACGTCGGCTGGCGCTGTTGGGCGACGGTTGCCATGAAGTCGTGACTCTTCCGTGTAGCGCCTCAGCTTGTGGATCCCCCGTGTTGCCTCCGACGGTTCCTCCGCCTATGCACTCAGTCTCACGTGTCCCCAATGCAGGTCTCTAGGCAGTCCAGTGGCGCATCCGTCTGGCAGCAGCCGCCTGTCTACAATGCGCGTGGTAAGGATGCACGTCTTCCGCCGGCGTCTCGGGACTGCTTCGGGTGAAAACAGGTGTGGAGCGCAGTGCAGGGGGCGTCAACGGGCGTGGTGTAGCAATATGTACAGTGTCGGGTCATGCAGTCGTCGGGGTCGGGTCGGGCAATGTCTCGTGGCGGGTGTTGAAGAGGAAGGAGGGGACGACGTCGGTGGTCTGGTCGATCGCGAAAGGCACAAGACACCTGGTAGTCTCCACAACGCCCACGAGCTTCAATATCGGACCCGACAGATGAGATCACTGGCAGGCTAGCCAATCCGACATGTCTCCAGCCGTATAACGCATCAACAGCCTGTCCAGGCGCACTCTTTCGTCTTAGTAATTTTGCGGGCTAATCTCTTTTGGTATGGGGTCCCTCGGCCAATCGGCGCGACAGGCGTCATCGATGGGGTGCCTCTGACATTTCTGAGGCTGCGCGGCACTCTGCCATCCACCCTCTATTCCAAACATGATACGTTCCGTTGGTCGGCAGGTCCAAAGCCCTCGAAATGCCACGATAACCCCGCACCGGCTGTCAACCTTGTCTCGACGTGGATATGCCGCTATCACCGATGTCTCCAACTTTCCCAATGTCGGCGAGCAGCTGCATGGCTTCACCCTCAAGCGCGTCAAGCAGGTGCCGGAGCTCGAGCTGACCGCTTTGCATCTCCAGCATGACAAGACTGGCGCCGAATATCTGCACATTGCCCGCGAGGATGCGAACAATGTCTTTTCGATTGGCTTCAAGACCAACCCACCAGATGCCACCGGAGTGCCACACATCCTCGAGCATACGACGTTGTGCGGGAGTGAGAAGTATGCCACCTTTTCGTTACAACCAATGTGTCGCTGACAACCCAGGTACCCCATCCGCGATCCCTTCTTCAAGATGCTTCCCCGCTCGCTTTCCAACTTCATGAACGCCTGGACCTTTCCCGACCACACTGGCTATCCGTTCGCCACGACAAACGCGCAAGATTTCAAAAACCTCATGTCCGTATACCTCGATGCGACGCTACACCCGTTACTGAAGGAAAATGACTTTACCCAAGAGGGGTGGCGGTTGGGTCCTGAGAACCCGCTGGCAAAAGAGTCGGACGACCCCAACGCGAAGCGCATCGTTTTCAAGGGCGTGGTATACAATGAGATGAAGGGTCAGATGTCGGATGCGAGCTACTTGTTCTACACCAAATTCCAAGACCACCTATACCCAGCCATCAACAACTCCGGTGGCGACCCACAGAAGATTACCGACCTGACTTGGGAACAGCTACGGAAATTCCACGCCGACCACTATCATCCAAGCAATGCCAAGATTCTCACATACGGAGACATGCCTTTGGTGGAGCATCTGAAGGAGGTGGACAGTCGCTTGAACGGTTTTGACAAGATAGCCGTGGATCAGGAAGTGAAGGCTCCAATAACTCTGGACGGCCCCAAGCAAGTCACGGTTGCGGGACCTCTCGACCCACTGGTACCTCAGGACAGGCAGTACAAGACTTCGCTTACATGGTTGATGGGCGACACTGCAGACGCCGTAGAGAACTTTGCGCTGGGAGTACTGAGCAGTCTGCTCATGAGCGGCTACGGCTCGCCTCTCTATCGCAATCTTGTAGAATCTGGACTTGGTGCTGATTTCAGTGCGAATACTGGCTATGACAGCGCTGGACGACGAGGTGTCTTGTCCATTGGGTTGGACGCCGTCAAAGCGGATGATGTGAACAAGGTGCGCGAGACCATTGCGGAGACCTTGCTCGAGGTGCGCAAAAGCGGCTTCGACAAGATCAAGGTCGATGGTATCCTACATCAGCTGGAGCTTTCGCTCAAGCACAAGACCGCCAACTTTGGTATGGGCATCCTCCAAAGACTGAAACCCGGCTGGTTCAATGGTATCGACCCAATGGAGGCCCTCGCGTGGCAAGAAACCGTCAATGCTTTCCAGAAGAAGTACGCTGAAGGCAACTATTTGGAGAGCCTGATTGAAAAGTACCTACTCACCGACAAAACCCTGACCTTCACCATGCAGCCATCGGAGACGTTCAGCCAGGAACTCGTGGATGAAGAAAGCCAACGATTAGCGGCAAAGATTGCAGAGACCACGAAGCAGTTCCCAAGCGAGCAGGAGGCACATAAGTACCTGGAAGAGCGAGAGCTTCAGCTATTGGAAGTCCAAGAGAAAGCCAGAAACGAAGATTTGAGCTGTCTGCCCACTGTTCACGTCAAGGATATTCCTCGAGAAAAGGAGAGGAAGCCACTGCGACATACTGAGCTGGATGGCGTGAAGGTCCAGTGGCGCGAGGCACCCACCAATGGTCTGACGTACTTCCGTGCCGTGCACAGATTACAGGGTCTCCCAGACGAGCTACGAGAGATGATCCCGCTATTCACCAGCGCCATCATGCGCCTTGGTACCAAAGACAAGACGATGGAACAACTTGAGGAACTGATCAAGCTGAAGACTGGAGGCATCTCCGTAGGCTACCACTCTTCACAGTCACCCTTGTCGCTCGACGCGTACGAGGAAGGTATGGCATTTTCCGGCTACGCTTTCGACCGTAACATACCCGACATGTACGAACTCCTACGGACTATCATACAAGAGACGGACTTTGACGGGCCTGAAGCGGGCAAGAAGATCCGAGAGCTCCTGCAGAGTGCGGCAAGTGGTGCCATCAACTCGATCGCAGAGTCTGGTCATTCTTATGCCATGAAGTTCGCTGAAGCTGGAATCAGTCCTGTGAGCCGATTAGCAGAAGAAACCGGGGGTCTCACCCAAGTCAAGGTTATGACAGCTCTCGCATCGCAAGAGTCGCTAGACGATGTCATCAAGAAACTCAAAGCTATCCAGTCTTTCACTATCACGAACAGCAACCAACTCCGCGTAGCGATCAACTGCGGTAGCGAGAGCTCAACGCCAAACCAGGAGGCACTACATCGCTTCTTGAACACATTACACAAGGACGTCTCTGTGCCCTCGACGTCACAGCAAAAGCAGTACCCTCGGAACGCCAAGTCATTCTTCCCTCTGCCTTACCAAGTCTACTACTCCGCCCGCGCTGTCCCGACAGTGGCCTACACCGACGCCTCCAGCGCACCTCTCGAGATCCTCGCGAAGCTCCTTACCTTCAAGCAACTTCATCCAGAGATTCGCGAGAAGGGTGGCGCATACGGCGGTGGTGCATATGCACGTAGCATCGGCGGTCTCTTCGGCATGTACTCATACCGCGACCCCAACCCGCAGAACAGTATGAAGATCATGGCCGAAGCAGGGCAATGGGCGCGCGACCGCGCATGGACACCTCAGGATCTTGAAGAAGCCAAGCTGAGTGCATTCCAAGGATACGATGCGCCGCAAAGTGTCAGTCGCGAGGGAATGAGGCTGTTCCTGTCTGGCGTCACAGACGATATGCTGCAGACGCGTCGCGAACGCCTCCTCGACGTCACAGCTAAGCAGGTACAAGCCGTAGCCGACCAGTTCCTCGTCAAGGGCGCCGAGAGCAGTGTAGCTATCCTGGGCGAGCGGAAAGACTGGGTCAAAGAGAACGATGGCTGGCAGTTCAGGGACCTGGGCATGTCAGAAACTGCAAAGGCCGCTGAGGAAGCCGAAGGCATTGCGCAAAAGGAGGACGACGTGCCGGCTATCGCGAGCTGAGAATGTTAATTGACGGTTTTATGATTGTATAAGTAAATGTATGATATGAGGTATGAGACGCTAGCATCATCGGCGTTGGTAAGTTGAATGCATAGCGCGGTGTCATCGCTCCTTCCCTCTTTGCCATCTCATCTCACTTCTGGCTGCTCTCTATCTTATCGTCGCCGGTCATACCTTCCGCCGCTCCGTGCGTCGGCCAAAGCATCTCTCTACGCGTTACTCTCAGTCTCTTTCACCAGCGCAACGAACAGAACCCAGACGGACCATGCATTCTCTCCCATTGCTGGTTCGCTCTGTCCCTTCAAATATGAGGGATCATGCGCCAGAATAATCTTTGTGCCATCTACCCAGTTCGCTCTTTGACTGTAAAACGTCGAGGAGTGGAGCTTGGGAAGGGGCATTGAGCACCTGCTTTCAGACCTACCTGTATCGAGCGAGACTCTTCTCCTGGTAGACTAAATGTGGGGGTACATCAAAGTGGCTATAACTGTCGCAGAGGGAAACGCTCGCTGTGTTTGGGTATCTAGCTATTTACAATTTACATCCGTCTCTTCACCCAAGTTCATAATTCCAGCTGCTCCTCATCCTGCAGCTGCCGCTCCTTCTCCCTTACCTCTGTCGCCTTGAGAATAAGGCGACGGTAGTCTAGAACAGCCTGTTCCAGCTCCTTCCTCTTCAGCGCCTCATGATCTGAGTGTGCGACAAAGATGGAGCCGGGACCGTACAGGTACCTCTTGTGGTCACCAGAGAGGTGCGGCACGTCCGTTCCGTAGTTGACAGTCAAAGTCTCGAAGCCCTCAATATCACAGTTTATGTTCACCACACCGTATGCCTCGCCACCCCATTGTACATCCAAATCGCCGCCTTCCTTTTGCGCAAAGGCTTTGACGTCTTTGAGCGCGTCGAGGATTTGTCCGCGTATGACATCGGGGGTGCCGGCTGCGATGCGCGTGGCGATGTTTGCGGTTGCGGTCTCGGCGACGACGTTGGCTGCGACTCCGCCTTGGATGCGCCCGAAGTTCATGGTTGTGTTGCCGTATTTTGTGCTCCATGGGAGGTGGTCTCGTAACTTCAAG